CCTGAACTAACCATACTGGCAGAACATTTGGACGCCAGTTAATGGTTGTAGAGAATTTATTAGTATCAGTATCAGTTTATTAAGGGAAATATAGGCAAGCGCCTTTGAACTCCCTCTTGGTTACAAGTCGTCGGAGAAAAACATTGATAAATGGGAAGGTGAAAAAGGGATTTTGTACATACTCGCGGACAGCTGGCAGCTAGTCGAACAAGAGTAAGCATTAATGGTTACTTACTAATAACAAGTAGTATAGACACGTATAAGATGATACCGGGTTATGTGAGTAGATGTGGGGGTGGTAATTGGGAAGCTTGATGCAGGTCAAGTCTACACTTGAAGGAGTTCACACAGGAGGAGATTACAACATCGGTAGGTAGGGCATTCCAGGCTGCAACCACTCTGTTACTGAAAAAGGACTTTCGTCCATTGGTTCTTGATTTCCCTGCGCGTAGTTTTAGGGGATGACCGCGCAAAGTGGGCGTGTTAGCTTGGGTGAAATAATCAGTGGGATCTAAACAACAGTCTAGGCCGTTGATGAGGCGAAATGTTAGTATAAGTTCACCACGTAATTGCCTGTAGGAAAGGAGAAACAGGTTGAGGATTGACAGTCTGGTTTCATAGGGCAGTGCTCCCAGACCTTGTGTCATTTTGGTCGCCCGTCTCTGGACCTTCTCCAAGACGGTATAATCCTTGGCAGTCCAGGGTCTCCACGCCTGTATGGCGTATTCTAGATGAGGTCGCACGAAGGTGCCAAATATTTTGGGAAAGCAGTCAGGGTCAAATCCCATAAATGCTCGCCTAATGAGTTGCAATGTGGCCGTAGCCGATTTAGCCACCTTCGCGCAGTGCAGTGTTGGTTTGAGTGAAGATGTAATCCATACACCCAGGTCCTTCTGACTGTCAACCTGTTGCAGTGGTGTGCCCTCTAGGAAGTAAGTCCTGGGGCTGGGGGCTCTGAAGCCGCCGAGTTGAAGAAAGTTAAACTTGCTTATATTGAAGGGCATAAGCCAGCGCTTCGACCAGTCTTCGAGTCTGCTCAAGTTTGCTTGCAGGTGGTCTGCGTCTGCCGCATCGTGAATAACTTTCTACAATTTTATGTCGTCGGCAAACAGGATGGCATCACAGTCTAGGTCCGTGACGCTGTCATTTATGAAAACGAGAAATAACGTGGGACCTAAGACTGAGCCCTGTGGGACGCCACTCACCACGCTTACATCTGAGGACTGTTGACGCCCGACCTGCACTCTCTGGGACCGTCCAGCCAAAAAGCTCTGGATCCATACAAGAAGGCGTCCACGAGAGACGTTGATGAGGAACGCTGTCGAAAGCCTTTTTGAAGTCGATGTAGATGGCGTGCACCACCTTGCCTTCATCACGTGCTTTGGTCCAGCGTTCGAGCGTAAACAGCAGATTCGTGAGGCAGGACCTACCACTTCGAAAGCCGTGTTGGGCATCAGAAAGGAGATGGTGCTGCTCGAGGAACTTCACCAAGGCCTTCTTAATGATCTTCTCCATGATTTTGCAACAGATGGAGGTAAGACTCACTGGCCTATAGTTATTCGCAGACGCACGACTTCCACCCTTAAAAAGCGGAGTGATGGTAGCGGACTTCCAGTCAGAGGGCAGGCATCCAGTAACAAATGACGTTTGAAGGATCAAGGCTAACGGCTTGGACATTTCGGAAGCTAGTTCCTTCAGCAGCTTGGCCGGGATTGCATCAGGGCCTGGGGAGGTCGATTCTTTTAGATTTAGTAACTCATTCCGAACAATTGTTTCGGTGAAGAAGACGGCTTCGAGGGTAGGCGTTTCATCGTCTTCATAAGCGGGTGAGGAAAAAGCAGGTTCACTTGTTACGACTGACCGGAAGAACTGAGAGAGATGTTCAGCCTTATCCTTGTCATCGGAGATTTCCATACCCTCAGCCGTTCGCAGCAGTGGGACAGGATCTTTGTTCCGTGTGCTCTGTCTTATGCAGCTGTAAAGGATTTTTGGATTAATCATGGCACGGTTCAAAAGATTCTTTTCAAAAGCTTTCCTATCTCTGGCGATGAGAATTTTGACCCGATTTCTCTGTAACTTATAAATGCTTAGGGATTCTGGCGTGCGGTCCGTCAGCGATCTTTTCCATAGCTTCCTCTTCTTGTTAACTTCCTTCTTTAAGGACGGAGTCAACCAGCGAGGTCTATTTGTTAGTCTTTTGCGCATGATTGGGCAGTGGTTGGAGATGAGGTTGTGGACTAACTCTTTGAACTGACACCAAGCCTCTTCGACATCGCCGGAGAGAGTGGATGCCCAGTCGATAGGACTAAGATCCTTTTTCATCTGTTCGAAATCGCCGCGCCAAATATTAGGTCGGGAATCGAGCGGTTGTGCAGGAAGGGAGAATAACGTGTATTCCCACATGAGAACCACATGGTTACTCTGACCCAACGGGGGGAGGCAAGTCACAACGTCGATGTTGTCAGACGACTTGGTGAACACAAGATCGAGGCAGTTCATCTGTTGGCCCTCTCGAACTCTAGTTGGAAACATTACGTGTTGTGTGAGAAGCAGGTTGTCGGAGGTACGCATTAGCTGCTGGTCAAATGCTGCTTCAGTGCAGTCGGCTGAGGCCGAGCTCCAGTCGATGTGAGGTGCATTAAAATCTCCAACGATGAGAGTGGTCGGCCGCGTTGAAAATAATCTGAGCTCCTCCAGCAGTTGGGCATCAGCGTCAGGGTCATTTCTCGGGGGGCGATATACTGTCAAGATATCGAGACTTTGAGAGCCCGGTGCCCTTATGGTCAGCCATAATGCTTCGGTACTACAAGTCAGTTGGGCAGTTTTTTCTGAAACGTGCGAGCCGTTCTTAACAAATGTTACTATGCCTCCACCCCTTCTGTTTTCTCTGTCTCGGCGGAACAGTTGAAATCCAGGGAGCATGAGCTCTCTATCATCAACCTGTTCGGACAACCATGTTTCCGTTATTGAGATAACATCTGGATGGCGGTCGTAGGCATGGGTACGGAGTTCGTCCAGTTTAGAAAGTACACTTTGCGCGTTGGTATACATGAATATGAGTTTCGAGTTCATGCAAAATTTGTTTTCAAACCCGACACGGGCTACTGGGGTAGCTGTGCAGTCATTCGGATCGGCTTGATCCAGAGGGGAGCGGAATGTCGTTTGACAATCCGGTCTTTGTAGATTGTCAAGTTTTTTTCTCCGTTGGTTTGCCGTGTTCTCAATTCTAGGACAAGTTCGCGGCGTTTCATTCTCTCGGCAGGTGAGTAGTCCGGCTGAAAAAACACTCCTTTATGGGAATGCTTCAATCGAAAACGCCTGAAAAGTATTAGTTTCGCCTGCTCATTGCTACCAAGGACGATTTTTAGGGGTCGTGGTCGCGTCTTCGGAGCGGCATTTGTACGGCTACCAAGACGAAACGCCTTTAGGACTGTGACATCTTCTGTTGGTTGCAGCATTTCATTGAGGAGTTTCTGGAATTGCTCTAAGTCAGCAGCGATTCGTTCCCTGGGGGAACTGGCGGAGGACTCTGCGAGGCCCTGAATTATGACACAGTGGTCCTTGTTAAGCATTCCTCTGTTTTCTGCGATTTTGACGTCGTTGGCTGGCCGTATTGCCTCGTCGAAGTGGACCGGAGAAGAGGAAGGGGCTGCCATATTGGTATTTATGTCCCCGTGAAGTTCGTCCGCGGATCCTGTTAAGGCATCGTGAATAGTTGCACACTGGGATCTATCAACAATACCTCCCATCAGAGGGCTCTGTGGAGAGCTTGACCCCCATGAATTAGAGGCTTCCTCAGCTCGGTTCTTAACTCTGTTGACATGGGAATTCGCGGTGGCAGCTAATTCCACACTGGGTCCATAGCCATATGTCTTTGCGCTAATTGATAATCCCTCTAAGTTAGGCTCAGGAAATGAGAACACTGTCTGGGAATTATTAAGGTTGGGCGTCATCTGCCCCATTACTTCCACTTCTTCCGTTGGCACATTTACATTCGTTTCATTTTCCAACCGCTTTTCGGGTAAGGCTAATATACTCTCTTTCGTATTCTGGCGAATTTTCCCTGTGGTGTTAAGTGTCGTCTTCTTCTTCTTCTTCTTATTCTTTTTTCATCGGAAGCCACGACCTGACTACTAATAGTAGTTGTCTTATTCACCCCGTAATTGCTTTCTGGGGATTCCTTACGCTGGATGGCTCTCGCTCTACTCCGAGTTAGCCTCTGCGTAGATAACACCGGGCGGTCCTCTGAAGGAACAGTCTTGTGTACAAGTTCCTTCAGATTTCTTACTTCTTCCTCTAGTTGATGCATCTTGTAGGCTATCGTTTGACAACCATTACATGAATATCCTACCAGATCCTGCGGTGACGAATTAACAAAGCTTTTAACTGAGCTCTCCAGCCGTGCGTCGGTGGTGTAGGGGTTAGCGGAGCGAGCCCTAAGTTTTGAGGTCCCCGGTTCAAATCCCAAGTGCGAGTTACTTTGGAACACTAGTGCAGACTCCAACATTCTGGATAACTTTTCTATATACACAAAGAGCGTAGACTTAAGTATGAAGGAAAGGCCTTTATGACGATCTTTCGGTAGATAGTAACTTCATTAGCTGAATGGGAAGGTATGGTCGAGAAGCTTCCGAGAGCAAAAATTTAGACAAATACTCTGAGGCGATGATGAAACAATGTCTAATAGTAGAAAAGCGACTCAGCCTTTGTAGAAACTTTGGATGAATTGTTCTTCAGATAATCCGACTTTCTGGGCTTGCAAGTATGAGAAACGAGGAAGGCCGAAATCGGAGTTCTGGGAATGTGCTGCAGGAGACTAGTTGGGAGAAGATATTGATGAATCGAATTCAAGTCTAAATTCCGGCAAGCTCTAAGAGCGTACAGTAAGTCCAAATCTCGAAGTAACTAAATTCCTCGGAGAGCGAACATTTGAAGCCAAATTCGAAACGCGCGCCATTAAGCAAAAAGTTAACAAATTATATGTGCACTAAGTCATGCATTGTCATGGTACATTTTGAACATGACTGTCGTTATCAGTAGCGGGTTCCTGGAAGAAAAGAAAGCAGTTGGTAAGATATCTTCAAAGATATGGCGGCAGTTAGATCAGTATATTTTAAGAGTAATAGGCAATGCCTTTGAAAACCCTAAATGGTAAAAAAATCATAATACTGAAGTATGGCGTCTTAGCAATATATTTTACCGTGAAAGGCAGTATTAAGTGGAATAGTGTAAATATAAACAGGTCTTAAAGATAAAAAGAAAGGCGTAATTACAGTGCCTTCGGACGGAGACAGAGGTAAGGCGCGGCCGTGATGGGCAGACGGGAAGCTCAGAGTAGGTTAGAACTATTGAAGACAATCATTTTATCTTCGTATTAGTGTCACAACGTTTGGCTCTGTAAACATATCTGTCTCGCGCTGCGTGGGACCAGTTAATTGTACTTTTTCGAACTGGATTCGTGGTGCAATCAGAGATTGTGACATATTCACGAATGGCAGCTGAACAAGAAAACTTAAATATATAACGCACCAATGAGAAGGTCATAAAGGGGGCTGCCGAAAAGGATCCGCTTTGTTTTTGATCCACCTCCTAGCAGAAGGTGAGGCATAGGGGTGACCAAGTAAGGCAGTCCCTCTGGAACTCTTCGAAAGACTTTTGGCATCTTTGTAAGACCCCAGCTGCAGTATGGAATGTAAGCAGATTCACCATGGATGGAGAAGGATATTGACTTACTTGAACAGATGCAACAGAGAGCAGAAAGGATGGTCGACGGCCTAAAGCACGTGTCTTACCAGGAGAGGCTGACTGTGCTTGGTTTATTCCCCCTCTCCTTTAGACAGTTAAATCGCTGTCTACTCTGGGCACTCCGGATTGTCTGTGACCAAGGTTGCTAACTAAGAGCTGAGAGATTTTTCAGTTTGCTCGTACAAACCAATTACGTAGTCATCTTAACAAAGTCAAGAGTGAAAGTCCGCGGCTAGACCGTAGGGAGTTTTCACTTAGCCAGCGGGTTATCCGACTATTTAACTCGCTACCAAATGAGATCGTGACGCCCGCCCCAATTCGTATGTTCAACAGAAAACTTGCTCGCTTGATTTTCAACAGAAACCGGCTTTTACAACATGACTACTAACAGTCGACTCTGTAAAACACTTTATCACGCACAATCTTACTGTACTGACTTGCAGTGAATAGAGGCGCCTCCTTACCATTACCATGGTACTGTGATCCGACCGCATTGTAAATGTCTGCAACTTTATTTTTTGTTTGTCAGGAATCTATAGATAAAAAAAACTCGCACAGTTGTGTCGAAACAAGCCCCAGCAACTTCTGAAATGGGGATGGTCGAATTTACTACTAGAGACCATCAATTGCTCCACTGCTAATAAACTAACAGAAAAGTGGAAGAGTTGGGATTTGATATACAACGAATTTTTCTGCCGTCAGCAGGAAATATCCCGCTTAGTAATAAGGACTTGCAAAATTATGTTGTGCTTCATCTGGATAAGACTCTTGTCGACTTTTGGCATTAAAGTTCGGACGAACAATAATAAAATCAAAAAAGCGGATATCCATGAAAAACCCATCGCTTGTGGACAGCTTTAAAGCCTCTCAAAGGCTGAAAAATTTCCGTCACAAAATAATAATAAATTACTATACTTACATAACCCACATCGACGTCAGTCAGCCACAAAATATGAACCTTATCTCACACCAAATAGCTTATCCAGTATCTCAGCTTCGGAAAGAGGCTGGAAGAGAGGCAAGTTGCATAGGGAACTGCATAGCAGTGGCATTGAACCAAAACCGGTATCAAAATGACTTACTGCACGCGTCCACCGAACGGCAATAAATCCGTGCGAGCCAATAATTATTGTCGTCGAGGGCGAGTGGCACGATTTAGGCGTAGGCCACCATGATACGTCAGCCAATGCACCCAATATCAACACCAGTTTTTCGTAACAGGCCCGGACACTTGGCTGGTGCAGGGAAAGGTGAGCTAGGGTGAGGCAATTCGCAGATCGATATGTCGATTAATTGAGTCCACGGTCGAGTGCCACACTTCCTTCAGCAGGCGAGAAACTTGGTCGCTGACAGGCCCAATGTTCTCACGCACTCAAAGTCAAGGCGGTGGACTGCGAGGAGGTTCACACGAGACGGCATAACAACGACTTGGCTGCTCGACGGAAGAATAAACAACCTTGGCAGCCGCTCACGCTTCCTCGCCAGGGAACGGCTTAGACTTTGAGTGCGTGAGAGTATTGGGAAAGTCCGACGACCGATGTTCGCGCCTGCTGTAGGGAACGTGGCACTCAACCGAGGACTCTATTAATTCACATACCGAAAAGATAATGGCATATCAAGCACTCCGTGGAGAAATCGGTAACGAGCTGGAGGCAACAAAAGGCAGAAGTAAGCTAAACGTGCGACAAATTGTACATACTTATATTGCGTGAAGATGGGCACGCAAGAGTTCGAAAGCTTGATAAAGAAACAACTGATAGAAGTGACCACATAACCGTCTTATTCTATGCAACGATTGGTCAAGTGTATTCTCTATAATTCGGAACGCGTATATATCGGAGGGGAGACGACAGGGTCTAGAGGGGGGGGGGGGTAGATTGATACATCAAAGTTTCGTATTGTTGGCCTTCATTCAGCCAATCATAATCCTGACCACCAGCTGGGACCGAAAACACAAAAATGCGCTCACACACCTGACACAGCTAGTTCACCACTGGGATATACAAAAACGGCCACAAGCACTTAACCGAAACGAAGTTCATTATTGAATCGCCAAATACAATCGTCTATACCTGCAGATCGCGCACTTATTCACCCATCAGGTAGAACCTGGTGGTTAACCAGGTGAACGAGGTGCACAAGCTCGTGTTTCCGGTCCCAACTGGTGGTCAGAATTATGATTGGACGAATGAAGGCAAACAAGCCCGAAACAGTGCTGTATCAATCTACCCTCCGGGTTCTGCCGTCCCCCATCTGCTTTGATGGGACCCCGACGGGTCTTTAATAAAAAATTATCTTATCTTATCATAACTTAGCTGACTTCGGCCTGGGAGGTCGTTATCTGTTCGTGACCCCTATCACCCATACGAAGCCTGTTTGCTTCGGGAAACCAATGGATCGGTGTGCGACCATTTGTGAGTGAATGTGAGTATATATTCATCAGGAATAGGCAAACATCGATATATTTGCTTCCCAAATGAAACAAGCTCAGTATTTTTTGTAAAGTTTATGAATAAGTAGCGAACTCGGATGCCGAAATTGTCCACTTTCTAATAGCTCCCAGTAGGATCGTCAGAGTATCTGGGTAGAATGGTAGAGTACTGTTTCGTGTTGTATGCCTGTTGGTAACCTTTGCCATCCCATACGGAGCTTGTTTGCTTCGGATGGTCAAGGCATCGGTGTACGCCTATTCCTGATTGAATTAATACCCGATCTACAGCGACAGAGAACGGCAGGTTGCGGGGCAGTTATGAAGTTTGGTTCGGCGAAGTGCTTATGCTCGATCTGCTAGACCCCAGTTGTGGATCAGCTGCACCAGGTGTGTGAACGCATATTTGTGTTTCCGGTCCCAGTTGATGGTCAGGATTATGAATGGCTGAATGAAGGCAAAATAAACCCGATCAGGTTACGGGATCAGCTGGTAAATTTTTCATCATGGTTTAATTTAGAACCTTTGCAGGTAGTCGCATACGGACCAGGAGTTCGTGCTGAACGGTGTTGCGATAGAGGCCAGGAAAAATTACATGTCAATTTCGGCCTTAGCAGCATTTCTCAACCAGTCTTACCCAGATTCGACTTTTATCACATCTGGTTCTCAAGCTTTATTAAGCCCAAAGCTCTTAAACTCTGCGCCACGGGGCCGCCGCCACGTCTGGTCGCAATCGGAAGTGTTGACGTATGTTAGAACGGCATTAGCCGATTGGGGCGCTGGACATGCTCGCCCGTTGTGCCATGGGGCTCGATCTAGAGCCCTCACAAGCAGACGTTCAATAGAAAACAAGCCTACAATTACAGACCATGAGGCCAGACCCGCTATGACCGAGGTGGGGGCTGCATTTTCCTCAGTTTTATCGTCATCCGCCCGAAGTAATTAACAGCATATTCTTCAGATAGCAAGTTAGCAGGGAATTAGGCTGTAACTATTTCGGATAGACCTCTGATTCCAGTTGACAATGATCAATTTGAAGAACTAAATCATCAGGTAACGTCAAAGGGGTAAGTGATCAGTTTTCAAGCATGGGAAAATGATTTTCATATAGCTTGAAGTAACTTGATAAATGAAGATGGGGATGGTTTCGCTCGCGAGATTTAAAAAATGACTTCCGTCTTCAAAAACGCTGAAAGGGCAAACGGCGAAGGCACTAGTCAACGAGCACACAGAAGCGGACGGCGAAGGACGCGTTTTACGCAACCCAGTGTCATGAAAGAACGGAATCTGGAATTCACTATACAGAATGTATTTGAAAGGCCTTTACTTTACACATAAGTACATTTAGAGCGACAAACTGCTACTTACCCAAGTCCGAAAACCCCGTGAACTGAGATGTGCATTTACAAACATCAAATATCCATTGTGACATTTCAGAACTTTGAATTTTTTATTATTTGTATTAGTAGGGTGTACAGGGTGTCCAGTTAGGGGTTTCACATTTCAGGAATAGTGGGTTGCATCATGAGTCTAGTAAAAGTGGTGGTTGTTTCGCACGACCTTCGGCTGGAAACCAACTATCATCTGTGTCTTCCCGAAGCCAGACACTGCCTAATGGCCACAGCCCAGTGACCATCTGTACCGGCGAACCAGATTAGATGGGGATATCCGATGTTGTATGTGTCTCCAGTTCTGGTAATTCTGCTCCCCTTCTCACATCCCAAATCCCTACGAAGAGAGTGGCGTGCTATCCTGAAGACAGTCTAGAATAACTCAGGTCGCTCTTCCACTAAATAAAGCAGTAGACACTAGTGGAGTTCGTAGGCCATCTATGACGTTTAAGCCGGCTTATTTAAGGACACCACTGCTTACTCCGTCAGGTAAGGGGGCTAGAAAAGGTGTCCTTAATATATGCTGGGTCATGGCATCTACAAGCTGACCATGGCTCGTCGGAACAGTGCAATACGCAAAACTCTCGTCCCCATTCCTTCTGTCCCACCCCACGGGCTGCTAAAGTGACCGCACTCGTACTGGCAGCCTGGAGTGACGTTCACTTTTAAACAACTCGAGAAACAACCGGCAGAAAAGTAGGGCGGCATTAGCAGTTCTAGAACTGATGCACCACAAGATGGGCATCACTGCATTCAGCGAGATCAGCTTCTCCGAACAGGGTCAGCTGGAGGAAGTGGGTATCGGCTACACCATCCTCTGGAACGACAACGTGGGACGACCGCCCTCTGGCGCAGGGTATCAACGACTATCTCATGATCCCGAGGCTGCATTTACGGGGAGCCAACTTCGTCACTGTTGCCGGCGCGGACGTCCCCCCAATGACCAACTCCGATCACGTGAGGAATAAGTTCTACGACAACCTGCCAGACCTCCTGGCGACTGTGCCGACGGCAGACAAAGTAATTGTCCTTGATGACCTTAATGTCTGCGTTGGGACAGACCACGCTGCCTTGGGGGGAGTGCTAGACACTCGCGAGATTGGCGGCTGCTAGGATAGCAACCTCCTTTTGCAAACCTGCGCAGAACATCGTCTCCTCCACACAAACACCTTTTCCCGTTTTCTGACACAGGAAAGCAGCACGGAGGCGCCCTCCTCCCGATGATGACAGCTGTTGGACTACGTCTTCGTCCGGAGGTGACAGGACGTGTTGGTGACAAAGGCCACCTGCGACGCCGGTGGCCGGACGGATCGCTGACTCGTCATCGCAAAGATGAGGCTCCAAATGCAACTTCTCAGGAAACCACAAGGCGTGCACCCGTCAGGTAAGTAAAATACTTTTGTTGAGTGTGTCTGCTCACCTAGACTGCAGTAATCAATTGACCAATTGTCTGGGAGAATTGCAGACTCCGGACAACAACGCCACCGTGGAGGCGCAACAGCGCCAATTATAGACCGTCATGTGCTACGCAAAGGGTTGCCCACGAAATCAAAATCAGGATGGGTCCGATGAAAACGACGAAGTAACCAACAATCTGATCTCGGAGAAGAATAGGCTATATAAGGCCTACGTCAACCGCCGAATTGCAGACAAACTGGCCTTCTTCATATATTACCACTTAAGGCAACAGCTACTATGTGCAATGTAAGACTCCTGGATGGAGCGAAAGGCCGAGGATATACAAGAACACGTAGGTCACAATGACATTAAGTATTTCCTGCCCCCATCAAGGCAGCCCACGGTCCACGCGTCAGAGGAATCGCGCCGCTGTTCGGTTTTAACGAAACAACACTCCACACTAAGAACTAGTAGATTCTTAAGAGGTGGGCTGAGCACCTCAGAACCATCCTCAGCTGCTCATCCACAATCTCCGACGCTTCCACTGACCGGTCCCATCAGGAGGACACTAATATCGACCTGGAGCGTTCGTTTTCCCATCCAAAAAGAATAAAAGTTGCGCAACGACTCTTCAGTGACAAAGCGTCGAAATCCGACGCAATCCCTGATGACCTCCACAAACATGACGGCCCTAGGCTAATGAACAAACTCACACCGCTGTTCCAGGAGATATAGAGTCAGGACAGGTCCCTTAGTACTTTAAGGACGCAACTACCACAATCTACGGACACAAGAGCATGTTCCGACAAAACAGAGAAAGCGTGCACTCCGAGCGCTACAATCATCAGGTCAAATTCTGACTTGCAAGGAAAAGACAGAAGTCACCAGATTTAGGGGTTTATTGTATACAGGAACCTGAGTTGTCCTCTCGGACGGCAGTGGCCGCTGGCGAAGCTAGGGATAGTGTTGACTGCGTCTATTCATGCCGGAGAGTCCTCAAGAGAATTGTGCAGCTTTTTTGTAGGTTTGGGAGGCAATCTGAAGTTGTGTCCAATTGGTGTGTGCTGATTCGTCAAGGAGTGGTGCTTGAGTGGTTTATGTTGTAGTTGCAGGGTGGAGGCGTTCAAGTGACCGCATGGGCAGCTGCGACGATGTGTAAGCGTGTGCGTCCGAGTTGAAGTCGGTCGTGTGGCTGCAGATCAGCGCGTTTGGAACCATTCGCTGCGAAGGCGAGTGACCTTGGCACAACGGGGCCTTGAACAATGACGCCAGACTGGTCGTGATGGCTGCCTGCAACAAGCAACCGTCAACTCTGTGACAGTCATCGAGGCATTTCTCCCCTCAACATTGCAGAAGTATTCGCCCATGTCCTCCTCAGTCGCCTGAGTACCCGTTTGGAGAAGATTCCTACTCAGAAATCTAATATAGATCCCGAAGAAGCCGCGACAACGTCATGCTTTCCGACGCTCGGCAACTGCAAGAGAAACGCCAGGAGATGCGGCCAGGCCTTTACACTACCTTCGTAGAATGAACGAAAACCTTAGACACAGCGAATCTAAACACACTCCGGAGGATCATGCCGAAATCCGTATGTGTGGAAGGCTTCAAACACATGCTAATCCAACTACATGGCGGAGGTTCTGGAAAGGGCCAGAATGATCAGTATTCACGTCATACTTAGGTAACAGCAACTGTGCTGGAGCGGCCACCTCGTGGAGATCGACGACGAGCAGCCACCAAGACGGCTCATTTATGGCGATGCCGTTACGGACGCTCGCCAACACGGAGGACGAGAACGACACCAGAGAGACAGCCTGTGGACCCCCTTTAAGCATCTGGACTGTATTCGACCAGCCTGGAAAAGATTAGTGGAGATTGGGGCACAAATCTACGAACCAACCAGATCATCGCTGCCAAAGCCAAAATACCTTTTCGCAAGTCTCTAGCGCCTCCGACTCAAAACGCCAGCACCCAACCCCTTTCGGAATGTGCACGTCGTCAACGAACATTCCGTACACGGCTCGGCGTCCTTTGGCATCTTCGGACCTGATACAATAACAGTATGACAACTTCAGTTACGAAGACGAAGATGCGATCACTGGAACAAGGCAGTTATTGATCTGACGTTTCGGATTCTCACTCGAATCCATCATCAGTGACATTCGCAGATAAGGGTGATGGTTGCACAAGGCGTGCAGTATTTATAGCACGTGGCTGCCGTGGGACCGCATGCGCACTGCAATTAACAGTTCTTGCAATCACCGCTGGGGTCGTAATCGATGCGGTGGTGCCTTGTCAGTCCGAGTCCGAGTCGTTAATTGCCGTGATTTCGTCATCCGTGCTGGATGCTGTTGTGACGATTGCTCGGCAAATTGTCTCACTGCCAATGTGCTACTTGCTCGCCCGCGCCCTCCCCACGTGACTGATCCCCCTGCCCAGGGAAAATCGCAGCACGGAATATGGTACCGGGAGGTCATTGTGTTTGTTGATGGATTGCGGGCCTGAGAACCATGACTCGAGCAGCTCGCGGCTCACGCGGTTGTCACCACTTGTGAGGATTTCGGTCTCTTGAAATTTGAAAATATGGCCGGGTCCCGTCGAGTGTGCCGCCACCTGAGAGCTAGCGTCCCCCGCCTCACTACTGCTGCATGCTCGGCAATTCGCGTGCGGAGTAATCTGCCAGTTTCTCCGACATAGTTGCTTTGTCCGCAACTACGCCAGATCCGGTAAACGACTCCAGACGTTTCCTGCCGTGGCAGCGGGTCTTTTGGTCTCATGACTTGACGCCTAATGGTTGCTCTCTCCGCAAACGCCTTCACCATCATCCCCGTTGCAACCCCCACGACGTCCATGATGATGACCTCTATCGCCGGTGATCAAACTCCTGATGTCCCGCAGCCGCCACCCATTATCGTCGTCATTACCATAGTCCCCGCAGCGACTACCACTCCTCCAACCACTACTACCAGTGAGAACACTCGCAACGCTCCGCTAGCCAACACCACCAACGCCCCCCACCGCCAGCAATGCGGACTCGATCCCGACCTGTCCTCATTGTGATTGCACCTCCACGTCACGCGTCGGCCTGGTTGGTCGTCTTCGAACACATCGCATTGAAACAGGCGTGCCATTGCCGGGAGCACTCAAGCGCACCCGCCTCGGCTGTCCACGACCATTCATTCGCCCCATGAGTCTACTCGGCCAAATGTGTGCACATGAGAGCAGAATAAATCGCAATGTCGGCAGACCAACCTCACCTTGCACATCGGACAACTCTCCTATAACCAGCATCATCCTCACCCCCTACATCGTTATCGCTACCGTCATCTGCATCACCATCGCCGCAAAGACGACAGCTACCACCCTATCCTGCCCATACCGCTACCACACATGTATACCACGTGTCAGACTGGTCGGCCACTTGCGAACCCATCGCACAGAGGCCGGGCAACCGGTGTCAGGAGCAACTGCCTACGGACACTCAGTCACCGGATCGGCCTACTCGGCTACATACGTAATGGAAATCCCTGGCAAAACTCAATCGCCACATATCTCCCCACCAACGCACATACCCATCCCAAATCATCCTCTGCACGCATTGACTGGGTGCCTCTTACGTAGGTGGGGAATATTCTAAGTTCCTTCTCCGTGTAGCCTCTACGGTTCTATGGCGTTTGTTGGATGCGGGCCGTCTGTGTTTCCTTTGTGTGAAAACACGACACCATGTGTGGGGGGTCAGATCGCGTGTGGAACGGGCAGACGGACTGTCTAAGCCCTGTCGGCCACTGCGTCCAATCTCGATATCAGATAATGAAAAAGCTAGGACAATCGATTGGAACAGGGAAGAGGGGACAAGGCCAACTCAGGGGACACCGTCCCCATGGCTCTTTGCGTAAATTCCACACCGCAAGCAACCTGATGCACTTCCAAACTACCACGGTGTGCTAAAAGTCCTAGCTTGGAAGGCCGCCAACTGATGGGATAACTCAGTCCTTCTCTCAGGACAAAGAGTCAGGCTGCACTGGCTCCTTCTTAATGCGACCCCCGTGGTGCTCCGAGATGAGATCCGAGCCACCTTTTGTGTGAAAGCCTTGCCCAGGCATGTGTAGCACGCATAGGCGAACTGCTTAGCCTCATCAGCCGTTGCGGCCGATCCCGTTCTCAGTCTTTTGACTGTCTTGACACTGGGCTCAGGTGGGTGAGGGGGAGAGAGTGCGGTAGATACAACGTAAGCTTAGTCGTCAAAATTGATAACACCCTCGAAGAGACCATGCCGGCGCTCGGTCTTTATCTAATTGTCAGCCTAAAATTCGTTACTCAGTTGCAAGTAAAATCACACAATACAGGCAGCCTACAATTACCTGGGCGAATAAGCTGACGTCTTCGGGAGTCGGCAACGTTCGAGGTCTATTCCGTCGACGTCACCACTCTCGCCTACTAGTTGTTGCGGCCATCACTACTTACTTTTACCGTAGTTTTCCTATTTTGGGAACGAAAAATCGTTGCCGGACCTGGCTCGAGCTATTTGGCAGACAACCAAGTGGTTAATCTGAGGGGCTTAGTGAGATCCCGATAACTTCCTAGGCCTTCGCATGGAATGGTGACTTCGAAGTGGACATTTGCCAATGCCGACTTCGACAGGGGCTATGGAGCGAGACCGTGTCGGTTTATAGCCTCTGATATGCTCGGTTGTGATTTAACGACATCAAGGTGTCCTGCGGAAGACATTTTTAGCACGAATAAGTCGCACTTTCGAGCGGACGGCCGTCTGACTCACGGACATTGCTAGTTTCGACACCATACACCGAACCACTATCATAAACCTAGCTACAAGACCTTGAACTGACTAGAATCTAGTCGGTCTGGAATACCAATTCAGCAGCCAGTTGCGGCGATGTTAAATGCACTCCGGTCAATAAAGTAGGAAACCTTTTCACAGTCGCACTGGAAATGCAAGGCGGCCAATAAGTTAATTAATCGATAATCGACAGTTAGTCCGTCTGTATGGACACTAGCTGCCGAGATTTCGGCAAAATGCCTCTTTAGAAGCTGACCAGACGGTCCATTTTGACAGGGTGATCGCTGCACTGTGTCAAGAGGAATGGCGTGGGCCACTGTGATGGGGGTGGGAAAGGCGTTGGACCCAGAGGTCTTGGTTTTCCGGCAGTCCGAGTTTGTGATTCGGACTACAGTCAGGCAGCAGACATCTACGCTGCACGGATTGCGACTGCGCGCCGTCAGACCTTTGATATTAGGCTCGCGGGACGTTTGCACATTCTCAGCGTCACTGGTTGGGCAGCCCAGCTCGCCGAAAATTCCACATCCTAGGACCGGGGTTTTGGGTCGCATCTGTTCCTGCGGACGATGCAACATAGATCCCAATACCACATTAGAACATTCCCATGAGACTTCTCGGGGTTTTGAACACGCGAGGAAGGAGCCCAACAGTCGCTCCGATTGCTTGATCGAGATTACCTCCTCTAATGCTTTGGTTCAAGAACTTTACCGCAAGGCAGCAGACGCATACGAACATATGATGGCAGTACGTGATCGGGTTTTGCAGTATTTCGAGTCAGTGGGCGTATCGTACCTCAGTCCTACGCGCCCCGTATCATTGTCCCTGTTGGCTCGCGACGTCTTATTTGTCAGATCAAATAGTTTGTTTAGTCTATAGCAACTCTTCGCTGAAGACCGTTCAACTATCTGCCACCCGTAAAAGCGCCGGATAGCCAGTAGCCGGGCTTACGGATAGACCCGAGTTTCAGGCAAAAGCAGGCATCTTAGGGGTAGTCAGTTAATTTAAAAGATGGTATGCTCAGTACAAACTTTAATAACTATGTACACTGGGTTGAGAGGGAAGAGATATTAGGTGGAAAGACGAATACGAGACCATATAGGATCAACTAAAAACCATTTTCTATTAGAAAAGCAGACACCTCGTCCAGGAAAATGCCGTCTATTATGATCTTTCGAGTTGCCTCGTCCACTTGACAAAGAAAGAGACCAGATTCACATTTGGGTTTTAGGAGCGCCTCCAGATCGGACGCGAGGGCCTTAATGGGTGAGAAAAGGAAAACTTCATTCCCAATAAGAAAGTAGATGATAACACAGACCAGACCAAACTTACGTGGCAACTAAAATGGGCAATCAAATGAAATAAACTGGACTGGTTACAGGTATGCGCGAGAAAGAACAAAGGCAGACATAGATGAAGACTTTTACCTGCATATCCCCGCCGACCTTTGTGATTACGGTGAGCATTCGCTTGCCATAGGTTTGCTCGCGTCTCTTGCGTTCTTTGACGGATAAGTAAACAGGTAGCATGTGATTACGAGAGCGCGTCACAGTGTAAGGCTTTCTTGCCGAAAGTTGGGCTGGAAGTATGGGAGTTTAAAATAATCCATAAAAATCAGATAGGTGTTAAGAAGTAACTCAAAAAGCCAGACACCTTAGGGGGCGGTAGCGCCAAATGTCATTTTTGCATGGCGGTACTAACGACACCTCACTGATATCGTATTAATTCCTAAATAGCAGTCACAAATTTCCAACTAAACAATAGCTCGGCAGCCTAAAAGGACGAGGATCATAGCCCTCCTAGGTGACCTGCGCGAGAATTGGACTAATGTGATGAAGAATTTTGCAGCATTAATATCCCTCCCCATCTCTCTCACCTCATACATTATGTGCTAATTAGAAGACCATGTCAGGACGACTAGAAATAAATGAACACATTGGTTGGCTGGGTCTTTGCATCCGTATCGGCGTGTAGAATGCGCGCTGACCCCACAGCCACAGAGAATAAAATTCTGATACCTCGGATGTCAAGTCAGTAAAGGCTTTTACAAGAGCCTATGACGAAGGATCTAATGCAGCCAGGTCCTAAGCACCGAGGCATCCAGCTGCTGGCAAACTCCAGGGTACTATGCTCGAAGCACAAAGATAGCTAGAAGGCGTGGCATACTGTCTACGAAGACGGTTCGCGGTTTTGGCGAGGTTGAATGTGCACCAATGGCTTGACTGGTTGACCTCGGTTATGCAGATAAAACCGTACTACCAACATCCAATTTCGAAGACTAACGAAGTCGACAAATTAGCCGACTTATCTGTAAATGCAGAAAATGCCACTGCATTCTTGAGCGGCAGTCTGCCAAGGAGGCCATCCGTCGTGTATAAGGCTAACTGCGTAAGGTTGCTAAGAGTTCTCGAAGGGGCCTGTGGATCTGTCGAGAGATGTTGGTTATTAAAAACAACTAGCTATACATAAGGAACAGATCTTACGTCTGGGTGGAATCCATCCGCTTGGCGTTTTCTTATCATCACTAGGAGGTGGTGGAACAAGATCGCACGGTTTTAAGAGTTCTACATATTTGAATTCCTCCTTTGATATTGAGTATTCAGGTATATTCGCTGGAGCATGCTGAACCTCCAAGTTTGTTCGCCAAGGGTTATCGATTGTTGGCCAGCATTTGATGGAGACTGCACGGGAGTTTACCTAAATGGACGCATGAAGAAAAAAAATAGTTTTCAACCTACCAAACTAGGAAGAATTGAGTTCCTACCACAGAGAATCAGCGAATACGCAGGCCGGTTAATGAAATTCATACCTACAGTTAATTAAGAAAAACGCGTTTTACAACTGGCAAATTCATAAGAAAAGATGAGATTACGGTAAGGGAGGTTCAAACGAGCAAGTAAACAGTTGCAAGGATAATAGAAAAAGTAAACACACCATAAAAATAAGGAGTGTTTCAGTCACTACGATGCTTTCCGACCTCCCTCCTGCTTGGTAAAATGACAACACAGAGTAAACGATAAGTGTGAAGATAGAACGGGTTAAGCAACAAAAACGACTCTCCCTCGAAACGACAGTAGTTCGTTTTGTCACTCTGCTGCAGCACGGGACAGGATTTACAGACAGAAGCTGTGAAATTTAACTGGGCCTGACGCCATACGCTCAAAACCTTTCAGAATAAGTCGAAGCACGCAAACGTCGGGAGTAGATGATGCCATTTTTTATTTAAGAACACAAATGCCTAAGAAGTTTCTTCCGTACACTAAATTTTCTGTATGAAGTTGGAGGCCAACTTCCTGCAGTACACCTCAGGAGTGCTCTACGTGTAAAAAGGTATAAAACTATTTTTGTCAAAGGCCTGTGCGTTTCTAGAGTATTTCGGAGTACGTTCAGCACTGGTTTCTACATATAAGGCGCACAGGACAGATAAATGCCATTGGTACATCTCGAGTAGGCGTGCAATTACCTACGAACGATTATGAAACAATTCCTCCCTCATTTACCACTCCCTAAGTGCGATTGTATCATTAAAGAGAAAATTACGGGTTACTTCAGGCGGCAGCCAAACAGGTGAAACACAATTCCAGCGACGAAATCGAGATTTGGAATTAAGATAAAATGATATTACATTATCCATAATATAGGAAAAGACGAATATTTTAAATGCTTCACAATAGTGACCGCATAGGTATTGGCTAAAAGTCAAGACACGTGTTTGCCAGATTTTCTGTCGGTGCATAAGAATCTTCCTTTGTTGGTCCGTGCACTTCCGGCACACAGAAAATGCGCCGGGGCACTAGGGAGCAATGCCACGGACCCTAAATTAAAAGTGGAGAAAAATGTGCAAAATGATAAAGAAATGCGGGAAATGATGCACAAAAAATCTAAAAGTTCGTCGCAAAGAAGCATCACGCAACTGCCTAGCACCATTTTGCAGTCAAGTTTCTGGCTGCAGTGATTCCAAAGTTGTTGCGGTCACGGATCGTTGCGAACAGCCTAAATTTTGCATGACAGTTCGATCATCGTTGCCGACGATGTCCACCGTATGATCTGCAGCAGAGTGGGAGCAGGTGCGGCCACTTGCACGTGAATTAGGTCATTATAGTAGTAAATCTGCGCTACATCTACCACACTCTTCTTCCGCCCTCCTCCCTCCCCCCCCCCAATCTGGATCCGGTGTCAAGAAAATCGGAGACGGGAGAGGATGCAGGTGGATGGCACGGCGACAACGTAAGCTGGCGTGCCACCACACCCTCCTGATCCACAACGGACACTGAAGAGGATTCTATACTACTACTAAAATGAGGCGAGTTGGATCCCAGTTGGCGCCGCATGAGCCCGCAGATGGGTTTGCCGCCACAGCTCAAGTATTGGCATTTGTTATGCGTGCCCATTCCCAGTAACATCCGCCTGACACCGATCTAACCACTATGTTGGTCCTGCGCATCTACCGCGTGGTCTGTTTGAGGGACCGTTGTAAACACCCTCAATTTTGCATACACACACACGCACCGTCTCACGGGCGGAACGGTGGACGTCCTGAGTTGGTCAGTCTACTAAACGTCATGGGTTACGAACTGTACCGATAAGTAGGACAACTACAGCACAGATTCTGATAAGAATATTTTTAAACTCTGATTAGATTCAGCTCAAATTCTAATCAGAATTGTTATTAGGGTCGGAATGCTCCTTGAGAGGGGAACTGTTCGTTTGACAACATAAGGTGCATTTGCACGCATAGGTGCACACGCAGCGATACAGCTTTCTTAGAAGAGGCAGACGCTGTCCTAACCAATCAGGGTGCCCACTAGCATCTGACTCTGCAGTCCCTGTAGCGGCTAAAAAGTGGCTCGGGTTGCACTATCATGGCCGAAGAAGGCATAATATAAACCTCATTAAATCGAGGTAAATAAAGCCGTTTCAATGAAATCGGTTATTTGGTTTGCATGGAGAATGCACTACGCAAACAAAAAGGGCTTGCCCTCTAGCCAGTCAGTCAGACCGTACCCGTACGGCGTGCGGATTACCGAGTTGTTTTTCTGGGAATTGAATCAAGTCACACAGTATCCCGAAACTGTGGAAATCCCAACCGAAGATAAGGGAATGGGGAGGGAGCGTCCATATTGTAGTACCTGGGGTAAGAAAGCAGCTGGGTATGTTGCCTGATGTACAGACCGGTCGGAAAGGAGCACACTGACTTTTTGCCCGAATTTTAGCACAGTAAAACCTCGGGGATAGATCCAGAGGTTCTGTACCTAAAACAATTAAATACGTCTGAGCACATTACCATTTAAATTAGAACTTACTCGTGCAGCTTGCCTTACCTCGCCATCAGATTGCTCTTCAGAGATCTGCCATGACGTAAACATTTCGGGAGATATACAGCGAATAATCGATTAATGGTGAGACAAATGCTAAGGAGATGAAGTGAGGAAAAAGAAGCAAAAGCCGTATTTAAATAGATAAGATACGTGAAAACTGACGAAAAAACAGAGACTGTGATACGGACTAGGCACACAAAAACTTGCGAATATGGCGGAAAGGCACACAAATTACGAAAGTCGAAAAGCAAGAGGTTTCCGTTTATTCTAGAGTAACACCAATTACAAGAACATACCAGAAGCGTAACTTCAGTCCTCTGTACTGTTTTAGGATTGAAAAATTTTAAAAGAAAACTAGCCTTGTTGACATACCGAAGGCACTGCACGCCCAAATCTCTTCAGTCCGCCATGAATCTCGAAAAAATGTTTGTTAAGCAATCGCGGTGTTCTGACGATGTGCTCATATGTAGAGGAAAACGATTCTACAAATCACATAAGTTGAGCCAGTCAGAGAAAATGCGTTCGTGGAGGAAAACCTTTGCCACTGAGCGCTCTTTACATAAAATATGAGAGGAAGAGTCTGCTTCGACGTATTTAATAGAAGAAACAATCACAGCTTCCTCGTGTGCGGACGAAACGTAAACTGCCACCTTTGACACAATCACACACATTCTACATTAATTTTTAAGCACGTGATCGCCATGTTATAAGTCTATAAGGTTTTCCCGCCGGCAACCCCCTCGCGCATCTCAATTTCAAAGATAAGTTAAACTCTGCATTTATCTGGATATTCTTAAGTAACATCAACGCCACCGACGATATGGCATGCTCTGCCATACATCAAGGGTGTTTCAGAAGCGACCGAGCGCATTGCTGCGGAGCTAGGGGTTGGAATCGCACACCGCCCCAAAGCCACCATGCGCAACAGGGTCATGAAGATCAAAGACCGGTTAAAACCTGAAGAGCAATCTGGAGTAGTGTATCGCATTCCGACTCAAAACGTACCGTGTTCCCAACTGCCCCCCGCCCCAGCATTCATATCGAGGTAGTTAGGCCGAATATGCCGATTTTCCCACCGTTTAGTAGACCTTTTGTTCCTATGGAAACAATGCGTCCCCCACCCCCTAACCTGTTTCCATCACGGCCGTTTTATCAATGTATTCGTCATGCTAATGTCCATACTGGACCAGTTAACTCATCCGATCTTCAGTTTCGTTCCGGCGGGAATGTGTTGCAGTATCTGCCCCGCGGATTTCCAGCTGAAAATAAGTTAGCTAACAATAGTTACCAGTTTACCTGCCCGTCATTCCCTCCCTCAAGTCCTACCCCTTTTTATCCACGTCAGAATTTTTTGAAGCCACAAAATTTTTTGCAGAACCGGATGGTTGCATCCGGACCGTTTGCTCCGTGGGCGACCCAGAACTGGACAACGTAGCCCACCTCCCTCAAAAACTAACAGCCTTTCCCTTCAAACTTTTTGTTTTAAATGCCAGATCCTTGCTTAATAAGATGCCTTTGCTTCAGACTCAGGTGTTCGTCCATTGTCCTGATATTGTTTTAGTAACTGAGACGTGGGCATCAGCCTCCGTAGCTGACTCCGAACTCTCTCTTCTAGGCTACAATTGCATTCGAAATGATCGCCAAGATAGCCGTGGTGGGGGCAGCTGCGTCTACGTTAAGCAAACACTTACATTTTTGCCGTTGGACCTCCCGCACTTTTCAGCTGTAGAAGGCAGCTGCTGGCTCCAGCTTGCACTAAAAAATAAGTTCTCCTTGCTCGTTGGCTGCGTCTATCGCCCTCCCAACGCCAACGACAATTTTGATCGTTTACTCTCACAGGCATTTCATGCTGCGGCCGACTTAAGCTTTAAGTATCAACTGGTTGCGGGTGACTTTAATCTCCCTGAAGTCCGCTGGTCTCCGCCTTCAGGCCCCAGAAGGTTCGATGACTTTCTTGAGGCTGTGGATGTTGGGATGTGGAATCAGGTTGTCGATTTTCCCGCACGAGGCTCAAGTCTACTTGACCTGATTTTCTGTAGAGGCTGCTTGCCATCGTCAGTGTCATCCCTAGGCCCACTCGGGGGCTCAGACCATGACATAGTTGTTTCAACGTTGGAAGTCGAGGCTGACGAAATGTCGTCCCAAAAGTATAAATTTTTCCGCAATTTCCGATCAACTCGCTCAACCGAATTATTAACACACCTTAATTCCTACGACTGGACTGAGTTCTTCCTTAGTTCGGATGTAAATGTTTGCACTGCAAATCGGTACGAAATTTTGGATCCGCTTATTTCTCGTTTTGTCCCCCGTAAGAAAATTATTAATGTTGGGGATGAGATTTCCCTACCCTTACCCTTTCGTCGCAGATTGCGCAGACTTTATCGTCGTTTCCATCTGCAGAACGATGTTTCTGTTCTGCCCTTGATTTGTGATATTTTTGATCGAGCTAAGAGATTGTCTGAAGAAAAACAGCTAGCCGAAGAGGTCCAGTTTACCGAAAAACATTCGTTAAATGTCTCGAAACTTTTCTCTAGAAAAATACGAACTCAGAGAAAGACGCAGTATCCCATCCTTCGAGACGATCTCAGAAATCCCATAGTTGATGCCCAGTTAACCGCTGATAGCTTCAATGATTTCCTGTCCAAAACGTTTATTGAAGACTCGACCACTCCGATTCCGACCATCCAGTCATTGACCGGGGCAGTTCTAGAAACTATAACTTTCACTTTGTGGGATGTGACTGTTGCGATTCGGCGTTTTCGTCAATCTTATAGTCCAGGCCCTGATGGTGTCCCAGTAAGCATTTTAACAGCCGATGCAAACACGATTTTCCCATCCCTCTTATGCAAGATATTTAATCTCGCTCTTGAAAGTGAAACTTATCCTACCTTGTGGAAGGAATCACACATTTTGCCCATTCCTAAGCACGGCAAATCTACATCATTTGATGAC